ACATCACAGTAGACAGAGAAACGGTTTACAACAATATGACTGAAGCAATGTTTACATTCAAAAAGAAATTATTCAATCCAAAACACAAGTCTTATTACAGTCCTACCGATATACAAGTTTTAAATAATTATAGAACCCTCGTCCCACAAGGCGAGTTATTCAAGGGCTTGGATAAATTGGATGTTCCAAAACAGGAGATCGACATGAACAAAGCGTTTACAGATGCATTTAATACGATTACCAGAATTGGAGTTTTTAATCAGTTTGATAGTTGGAAAAGCTTATAATAGTAAATGTAAGATCAAGGATGTAAATATATATATATATTTGGTAAAAGCAGAACTGACACATCACAATCTGTTTTTTAATAATGATACAAATATAGTTTATGGTATGTTTCTTAAGCATTTTATGCCACTTGTTGCATCTGGCGAGTTGTCCATTACTCACTACAAACAGCCCCACTTCATTCACAAGGTAGATTATAAAATGTTGGTTGAGGAACTTTGGGGAAAGCGAATAAGCGAACATATTGAAGAAGACAAGGCAATTAAAAAAATGAAAGCCAACCCGATTTTTGGCTTGTTGGAAAAAAGTAAGAACAGCAGTCAGAGATCATTCGTTTTTGATGATCTCAATGAGGCGATCAGCCTTCAGGCAGATGCAGGTGGGAAGTTAAACATGATGAGTAAGCATACCGCCAAGTGGGTTGAAGAGTTTGATGACAACGGGGTGTGGTGTCGGGACAGGGAAGTATGTGAAACAAATGACTCGCTTTATTACATTCTGAATGTGGTTGATAGGTGCGAGTTGTCCAATGGGTTTCGTTTTATTAAAGAAATGCTACTGCCGTATCATAATTTCAAAATGCAATGCGCATATCAAAAATTGACAGATAACAATGTTAAGGTATTGAGTGTCAAATGCGACGCTTTTGTCGTGGACTGTTCGGGTTTTAATAAGTTTGGTTTGAGAAAGACTCAGCGGTTGCTAGATTTTCACGATGGGATCGGTGGGTGGAAATTAGCCAAGACTCACGATGAGATCCATCATACAGGAAAGCAGTTGTATGAACAGAAGAAGTGTGAATATGTTGATATCCCGATTGTCAAAAGTAAGAGAGTTAAAATCATTAATGAGTATGATGAAAATGAATTGGTTGAACTTGTTGAGAAATATAGGTGCTTGATGATCAAGGCCAAATTCGCAGGAGCAGGGAAGTCCACCATCTGCAAGAACATGGAGAGACTCAAGGGTTATAAAGTGTTGTTCGTGGTTCCTACCAATAATCTGGGTTTGGAGTGCGAAGTGGAAAACGTCACTGAAAATAAATTCTTCAGTATAGCAGTCAATGACGAGAAGCTAGATAAATACGATCATTCGATGTTTGATGTCATTGTGTTTGATGAGACTTGTTCTAATAATACCTTTGTATTGGCAAAAATTAAGGGCTTTGTAGAGCAACATAGGGCTAACAAAATCATATTAGCTACTGGTGACGCCAAGCAATTGAGCCCCATAAAAGCACTGACTAACACTAAGAAACACGAGATTTATATGAATGAATGTATTGACAGCATTTTTCCCCATCATTTGTTTTTGGAAGAATGTAAGCGGTTGAAGACACAGGAGGACAAGGATAAACTTAAAAGTATTTATGCTGACATCTTTGAGCATGAGTTGTCTCTACATGATGTCATCAATAAGTATTTTAAATACACTGATGACATCGCAGGAACAGAAAGCAATGTCGCATATTTAAATAACACTTGTAGAGAGGCTTCAAGGCAGATCAGGAAACGACAGGGCAAACAAAATGAGTCTGAAGTCGGCGAAATCATGATATGCAGAGAGTATAGGAAGACAAATGTGGATTTTAGGTATGAGATAATTAATATTTCCGATCCTTGGATTACCATTGCTAATATCAAAACACGAGAAGAGATCACGCTAAATATTGGTATCTTGAGAAGTCATTTTATCTTTGCCTTCTGTTATACTTGTCATTCTGTTCAGGGGTGTTCCATTGATGACGATGTCGTGATATTTGATTGGAACCATCATCTGATAACTCGCGAGTGGCTTTGGACGGGAATCACTCGGGCAAGGGATTTAAACAGACTAAAATTTTACAAATACAGTAGCGATTTAAATGAAGAGTTTAACGCGAAATGCATTATGAACTATTTTGAAAGAAAAGTGTTAGCATACAAGGAACAGAATAGGAAAAACAAATTTGAGATCCCAAAAGACAATTATGTGGATGCCGAATGGTTGAAGGACAATGTCAACGGAAAGTGTGCAAATTGTGGCTGTGGAATCGTGTTGTCAATGGATTCTGGCAATATAAACTCTAATCTGACTTGTCAAAGGTTGTGTAATGATCTACCCCACACAAAAGATAATCTGATGGCTTTTTGTGCTTCTTGTAATAGATGCTTCAGTGATAAAATAACATATTGAAATTTATTTTATAGTATTACTTATATGAGTGATAAAGACAAGATAATCAGTGAGATCTACTACGACCAGGCTGGGTTTGGTTCTTTAAAAGCAACTCTAGTAGACAGTAAGAAAAAGGATCCTTCCATCACAATGCAAGATGTTAAGGAGTGGTTCCAAGAGAACGTGGAAAGGAAAAAGCAACTGTCTGGATACAATTCATTCATCGCTCCACATGTTCTGTATGAATTTCAGCTTGATTTGTTCTTTATTTCAAAAAATGATTTACAAACTCAAAAATTTAGTATAGGTTTAGTTCTTATTGATGTTTTCTCCCGTAAAGCCGCGGTGATGCCTATCATGTCAAAGCAACCTGCCGACATCACTGCTGGGATAATGGAAGGCTTGAACAAACTCGGGAAGCCCCAACTCATTTACTCTGATGACGAAGGGAGTCTTAACAATCAGGATCTTGTTGACTTCTTCAAGGATCAAAAAATAGAGAATTACAAAACAAGAGGGCACCCTCATTTTGTTGAGCGTTTCATTCGCACGTTCAAGGACATGCTGTTTAAAAGGGTTGATGCAGACGAGAAAAAGGGAAAGGTTAACATACAATGGGTTGATTATATCCCCGAGATCATGCTGACATACAACAGAAAAATGGTTCATTCTGCCCACGGTATGACTCCAAACGATGCCCACAAAAAGGGAAACCATCTTGAGGTCAAGATGAAGCTTGAGATGAACAGAATCAAAACCCGTAAATATCCCCCTGTTAGGGTTGGCGATGAGGTCAAAATATACCGCAAAAAGGGGATCAGCGAGAAGGAGAGAACGAGTTCGTGGTCAGCAAACAAGTTCAAAATTGAAAGGATTGAGCGAACACTTGGACAAGACTATTATTATGTCCAAGGTGTGACTCGTGCTTATTTGAGATCGGAAATTCTGAAGGTTTGAAAAAATAATATCTAAACGGTTCTAGTAGCTGATGAATCTATTAGAACTGGTTAGTGGGACAGGGTCGGTCGGTCGCATCGCCCGTGATCTGGGGTTCGATGTCATTTCACTGGATTTGAAGGGTGCTGACATAAACAAGCCACCCAATGAGGGCAGTCCATTTTGTGGAATTGAGCAGTCCATTTTGTGGAATGGAGCAGTCCATTTTGGGAAATGGAGTAGTCCATTTTGGGAAATGGAGTAGTCCATTTTGTGGAATGGAGCAGTCCATTTTGGGAAATGGAGTAGTCCATTTTGTGGAATGGAGCAGTCCATTTTGTGGAATGGAGCAGTCCATTTTGTGGAATGGAGCAGTCCATTTTGGGAAATGGAGTAGTCCATTTTGTGGAATGGAGCAGTCCATTTTGTGGGGTGCTTTCCTACATAGGCCTTTCCCATCCGCATATTGCCATCCAATGTCACACAGATTATTTTCAAGATTTGGGTTAACGGTTTTAATTCTCCCTTTTCCATTGGTTAACCATTTTTCGGGGAGTGATAATTGACAATGTGTTATTTGGATGAACAAGGTTGGGTTTATTCATTTTCTAGGTATGTAATCTTGAAAGATCATTTAAGGAAATGTATTCATAACATAGTATGGAGAATTCAGAGTGTAGCAGTTGTAGAGTCAATAAACCAATTACTGAATTTAACGGGTTCAAAACATGTAACAAATGTAGAGCGAAGAAGCGAGACAGGACAGCGAATAATGGATATTTGTATTGTCATGTTTGTGAAAGAAGAGTGAACCCAGAGATTTGGGATTTCCATTTGGTTGGAGGTTGTCACCAAGATAATATGCTCAAACATCTCAAGGCAGATTATTAGAGATTAGTTGAAGAAGCACCTACACAAGAATTCAAGGACAAATATTTTCAAGAAGGTCAAGAGAGGATACAAGAACTCAAAATGACAATGCCTTTGTATAATCCAGCTTTGAGAAGAAAGAAAGTTGATCAGGTTGATGGTGGTGAATTGGACTAAAACATGAAGTTGATCATTAGAATATTATTTTTCTAATGATTAACTTAGAGGGTTGTTCAATTTGGTGGCTTTGAATGGTGTAATTTGATAGGTGTATTTAAAAAGTGCTTGAAAGTGTGGGGGGGACCCTAGGGCAATGCGGACGGGAGAGGCTATCTCTAACTGCGGGGGCGCGGGGGCGCGGGGGCGCGTCGCGTAGGCGCGCGTGCGCCCGTGCGGCGTGCGCCCTCGTGTGTCTGTGTGTGTCTGTGTCATTGATGCTCTTGACGGGTCCATGTGCTTGCGTCTTCTTTGTTTTTGTGTGAGTCTGTGAGTGTGTGCGTGTGTTTGTGCGTGTGTATGTGCCTGCAAACAGTCACGATCAAGATTGCTCAGGCGCCAGTGTACTCATTCCCGGCTTGACATTCAACCCAGGTGCATCGCCTTACTGCCTCAACATGATAAACGAACAGCTTCTACTTGTGGAATCAGCGCAACCGATAGGGGACTTCGCCAAACTCATACTTTTGTGATTTCGATCAATTCCTCATGTGCACCGTTTTGAACACCCAAGATGCGCCCGAGGGCGGCACCAACGCCCTGTTGGTCTCGCCCGCGCTCTGCGTCTCGGACCTGGGTCAGACATGTGTTGTGCCATGACATGTTCAGGGATGGCCCTTCTGAACAAAGTGACACATGGGTCCCAATGACGAGCCCCCGCTTTGCAAACCACTCCATCTGCCTAAAAATGCTTAGCTTGGAACGACGTGGAAGGTACTTTTGCGATATTGCTTTTCCCCCGGGGAACCAACCTTGCTGTGGGAATGCAACCTTTGCGAACACCCAGAATCCCGGACCTAATTAGCAGGCCAAGGTACGTTGGAGTGGCATCCCCTTGGGCTGCGTCGGTGGCGGAGCCAGACGCTTGTGGGCTGTCTTCCCCGGCTGATGATTGCTCTGTCTGCCCGTTCGGCACTCTGCCCTGCATGGCAGCATCTTCCTGCTTCTCCAGTGGCAAGTCTTCTTGCTCGATGTTCTCCTGCTCGGATCGCTCCTGCTCTACTCTATCGCACTCCAACCTTTCAACCTCCTGTTCTTTTTCATGCTCAAGCTTGCGCTGATTCAGCTCCTGCTCGAGCTTCTCCTGCTCGAGCTTCTCCTGCTGGAGCCGCTCCTGCTCAAGCCGTTCACGCTCCTCCTGCTGGAGCCGGTCCTGCTCCAGCCCTTCCTGCTCGAGCCGCTCCTGCTCAAGCTCCTCCTGCTCGAGCCGCTCGAGCCGCTCCTGCTCAAGCCGCTCCCGCTCCTCCTGTTCGAGCCGCTCCTGCTCAACTTTCTCCTGCTGAAGCCGCTCCTGCTTAAGCCGCTCCCGCTCCTCCTGCTGGAGCCGCTCCTGCTCCAGCCCTTCCTGCTCGAGCCGCTCCTGCTGAAGCCGCTCCTGCTCAAGCTTCTCCTGCTGAAGCCGCTCCTGCTCAAGCCGCTCCCGCTCCTCCTGCTGGAGCCGTTCCTGCTCGAGCCGCTCCTGCTCAAGCTTCTCCTGCTGAAGCCGCTCCTGCTCAAGCCGCTCCAGCTCCTCCTGCTCGAGTCGGTCATGCTCGAGCCGCTCCTGCTCAAGCCGCTCCCGCTCCTCCTGTTCGAGCCGCTCCTGCTCAACTTTCTCCTGCTGAAGCCGCTCCTGCTCAAGCCGCTCCTCCTGCTGGAGCCGCTCCTGCTCCAGCCGTTCCTGCTCGAGCCGCTCCTGCTCAAGCTTCTTCTCCTGCTGGAGCCGTTCCTGCTCGAGCCGCTCCTGCTCAAGCTTCTCCTGCTGAAGCCGCTCCAGCCGTTCATGCTCGAGCCGCTCCTGCTCAAGCCGCTCTCGCTCCTCCTGTTGGAGCCGCTCCTGCCCAAGCTTCTGCTCAAGCCTCTCCTGCTCAAGCCGCTCCCGCTCCTCCTGCTGGAGCCGCTCCTGCTCGAGCCGTTCCTGCTCAAGCCGCTCCTGCTCCTCAAGCTGCTCCTGCTTGAGCTTTTCCTGTTGAAGCCGCTCCTGCTCGAGCCGCTCCTGCTCAAGCTGTTTCTGCTGTAGCCGCTCCTGCTCAAGCTGCTCCTGTTCAAGCTGCTCCCGTTCCAAACGCTTCTCTTGCTCTAGTCGCTCTTGCTCCAGCCTCTGCTGCTCCAGCTTCTCCTGCTCAAGCTTCTCCTGCTCCAGTCGCTCCTGCTCGAGCCGCTCATGCTCAAGCTGCTCGTGATCCAGTCGCTCCTGCTCAAGCCGCTCCTGCTCAAGCTTCTCCTGATCCAGTCGCTCCTGCTCGAGCCTCTCCTGCTCAAGCTTCTCCTGATCCAGTCGCTCCTGCTCGAGCCACTCCTGCTCAAGCTTCTCCTGATCCAGTCGCTCCTGCTCGAGCCGCTCCTGCTCAAGCTTCTCCTGATCCAGTCGCTCCTGCTCAAGCCGCTCATGCTCAAGCTGCTCCTGATCCAGTCGCTCCTGCTCAAGCTTCTCCTGATCCAATCGCTCCTGCTCGAGCCGCTCCTGCGCAAGCTTCTCCTGATCCAGTCGCTCCTGCTCGAGCCGCTCCTGCTCAAGCTTCTCCTGATCCAGTCGCTCCTGCTCGAGCCGCTCCTGCTCAAGCTGCTCCTGATCCAGTCGCTCCTGCTCGAGCCGCTCCTGCTCAAGCTTCTCCTGATCCAGCTTCTCCTGATCCAGTCGCTCCTGCTCAAGCTTCTCCTGATCCAGTCGCTCCTGCTCGCGCTTCTCCTGATCCAGTCGCTCCTGCTCGAGCCGCTCATGCTCAAGCTGCTCCTGATCCAGTCGCTCCTGCTCAAGCTTATCCTGATCCAATCGCTCCTGCTCGAGCCGCTCCTGCGCAAGCTTCTCCTGATCCAGTCGCTCCTGCTCGAGCCGCTCCTGCTCAAGCTTCTCCTGATCCAGTCGCTCCTGCTCGAGCCGCTCCTGCTCAAGCTGCTCCTGATCCAGTCGCTCCTGCTCGAGCCGCTCCTGCTTCGCCCAAGGCCTTTTCATCCTATCCATCGCTCCTCTCAAGTTTTCCTCACTGATCCAGTCGCTCCTGCTCGCGCTTGTCCTGATCCAGTCGCTCCTGCTCAAGCCTTTCTTTGTCTAACCTTTCCGACTCCAACTGCCGAATCTCCTGAAGCCTCTTCTGCTGCAGCTCCTCCTCCTCAAGCTGCTCTTGTTGCTTCTCGAGGCCTTCTTGCTGTTCTGAGAGCCTTTCTTTCTGGAGTCGCTGCTCTGTCCGATTTTGTCCCTCGGAGTCACTATGATTTTGCTCTTGCCCGTCCTCTGGCTTCTGCTCGTGGGGGTCCCCCGTAGCCTTGTCATCTTCACTGGCCGGTCCAACACCATCCTTCCTCAGATGCAGGGTGGGGCCGCAACTCCGGAAGTCAGGAAAAAAAGGTGGGCCCCGTACTTCAGACACCCACAATTTTAGGGCATGTTCACCCCTGGCTGATTTTTCTATGCACAAAACAACGGCCTGGCTTTCCATACGTGCACAGGATGTCGCCCAACTCGAAAAAGCAAGACACGAAAGGATTCAGGGAGAAATCAAGACCTGCAGTTGAATGGGGTGGGCTCAGTCAGGTGTGAGGTGAATGAAGTGTATTGGGGAGTATTGGAGTGATCTTCAAGGGGGGGGCCACAGGCGCATGGGGCATGAGGCGGTGTGGGGTGTGTGTGTGTAGTCAAGATGAGGTTCGAAGCACACTGTGTTCGTTCCAAGTAGGAGCAAGGGAGCAAAGCGGAACAGTTAAACAGCTCAGCCAGCTCAGTCAACAACTGACACTGAGCCCAACATTTTGGATTCTAGATGCCACACACATTCGAGATTTAGGAGTACAAACAGCTCATGAACACACGAACCCAAGATGGCGATGCAAGACCCGGGCAGGTCGCGCGAGGCAGCCTTGACACAAACAAC